GAACCCGCCACCTTAGGTGTATGTGGCTGGCGCCTTAGCCGGTTGAGCTATAGGCGCCGAGCCAGAGCTACTGATTCTTAATATTTTCTACATTAAAGGTCACTATAACAAGCTGATGAAAGATAAATGCTTTTCTCAAAACATTATGTTGCTTACTGAAACCAGGTCAGAGACCTCTGCTCCCGAACAAGGACCTTGCACAAGGTCAGGGTTTAAAGGATCCATGTCCCATACCCCTACTACCATGCTTAGAGAAACCTCTCCAAATTCCCAGTGAATCCTTTCATCCTTCGATGAACAAAGGATCAACTCTAAGAATGTGTTACTTTTAACAAGTTCTGTTAATATTTAATAACTTCAAAGGAACTAAAAAAAAAAAATATATATATATATATCCTCAGGAGAGGCAGGATTGAGAGAACTCCTTTTCTTAGCAAGATGCTCCCCTTGTCCTGAGCAACAGTATAACAGATGGACAGAGCAATGAGGTAAACAGACAGACTCAGGCAAACTGCCGAGAGAAGCAAGTCCCAGGGCCTCTCCCAAAAACACCCTGTGAGAGCCTAGATTGGAGTTTGGGCAGCTGGAAGGCTCTAATAGACCACAACTACCCTCATGAGCCCCAAGAGACAGTGCTGCATCCAGTCTCGGTGCCAAGTCAAGCCAAGCCAAGTTTGGCCTCCACCAGGAATCAGGCACTTACTATGTGCCAGACACCATGCAAGGATTTATAATCATACCATCTTCAATAATCCAAACAATCTCTCTAGGAGGAAGTTGATTCTATCCTCATTTCAAAGCCTAAAACTTCTACCCACTGTGTCACCCTGCCTAAGGGCATGGAAAGAAGTACTCCTCTGCCAGCCAGGGCCAGGATCTCAGCTCAGCTTGGCTAGGCCAGGAGGCAGTTTCTGCCTACACTTTTGTCTAGCCCCAGCTGAATGGCATGGCTATTTCCCCTAGCATCAGATTTATTATCTAGATGCAGCTATGAAGGAATAAACAGAGCAATTTGTGTTTGTAGTAAGGGATTACTCATAAAAGTTCACACAGACATTCTAAGAGCAGTGCAAATAAGTGAACCAAAGATTTAAAAAGTCAATGGTTAACTTTGCCAAAAAGAGTTTTCATTCGATATTTTGCCAAGAGTGAACTTTGTTCTCAAGTGGGTTTATTTTTACAACCTCCAAGTGCTATATTTAACCTTGTTGGCAGCACTTGCTGCTGGATTGGGAGGGCAGATGCTACTTGTTCTCAAATGGCATTTGGATTGTGTGGAGGCTGCACAAAGCCTCTGTACTTAAATGCTAGAAATAGATTTTTAAGGGGTGTGTGCTGATAACCCCCATTTGGAACTTGTGGATACACACATCATGCTTAATCACTGGGTTTTTATTTATACCTAGAGAGTGCCAAAGCTCTGAATGAGGCCTCATGGGAATGAGAACAAAAGCTTAGAATCCACTTTCACTGCATTCCTTGCCTTGAGCTCTTTGCAAAGTTCCAACATCTTACTGCCACAGAGGAGGATGTAGGGTATGTGTGTTTGCATCTGAAGAATGTGAAATGTAGATTT